CTGGGGGCCATATGGGATGCAGAGGATTGATCGGTTCATCTAGTCAAGCACCCAATTCACATTATTGTCTTCTAACCACAATACCGGTGTTCTTTCTCCGGATCATGAATTTCAGCTCCCTCACATCAAGCTGCAAAGCACCTGTGACTCTTTATCTCTCCCTGAGCAGACAACACCTGGAGCTTCCTGCTGATCCTCAAAACAACAGTGACAGGAGAAGATGGTTACACGGATTCTGATAAACCGTTCCCAGGTAGGAGTAGAGAGATAGAATGGCTTCCTGGCCCTTCAGTTTTGAGTTTCTTTTGGACGAATTCCAAGATGAGACTTCTGATCGGACCATCCCACTCTGCTGTTGGAAACTTCTTTTGTGTACATTTGTTTTGTTTTATTTGGCTTTGGGGCCGACCCAGTGGTGCATGAGGAGTACTCAAAGCTCAGTACTCAATGCTCATTCCTGACAGGTCTAGGTGACCAATGGGATGCTGGAGGTCCAAAGGTTTCATCTTGGGTTTTTTGTTTTATTTGGGGTGGCAGAGCAAGGATTCTCGCAATCATTCCTTGTGCTGCCCTCTGGCATTGCCCCTGGCAGTGCTTCTGGGACCATATGGGATGTTGGGGATCACCAGTACCACATGCTGTTCCCGGAACAGCTGTGCTGTTATGCCAACCTGCTGCTTCGGCTTCTTTTGCATTGTTTTTGTCATCAGCTGTCCTGTTGACTCTGCTCTGGATTCACAAGTGACGGGCCTCAGAGCACCCTGGGGTGTGTTGGCCCAGTTTGGGCCCTGGCAACTACAGTGACTTAGGCCGCCAGACTTGCTTTTCTCCTGTTTTGTCCTTCCTACTTTGGAGAGACTACCTGCTCGGTCATAGAGTCTTACGTTCACATAATCTTATGTGTGGATTTCTGGGTATGCACCGATCCCAAGGAGAAAGAGCCAAGGATGTCTGAGGCCAGTAGAGATGTTTCGGTAAAGAAAGTTCTACCTTCTTTGAGCGGGATTTGGGGCGGTCCTGAGCAGTGAGTTCCTACAGGCACACATGCCATGCACTGCTCTGAGTAGTTGTCTATATGGACTGTCGAGTTCTCAATCCTAGTGGTCCTATGCTGTGGGGGTGCAGCGGTGAGCATGCAGTGTTTTTTCCTACACCCAGGGATAGTCTTTTGAATCGTACAAGTCTGTGTTCAGGTGATTCTCTTTACAGTGCTCACTGGTACAGTGGTGCTCGAATTGGCCCTGGGATTACCAGGAAAGGCAGATAAATCCAAGAACCTTCTGTATAATATTCTCCCACTTTAGCAGATCCAGCTGCCTTATGTGATTTCTGGGGCCCATCAGCCATGCATGTGCATGGAGTCTGGTTCATTCGGAGGGTAGAGGCCCAGCGACATTATAGGACCCTGGGTCCTGGCCTCAGAGTAGTGGGAATGAGGCTAAGATATACTCTGACTTCCACCCTCTTCGTGTGCTGATTCAGGACGCAGTGACCTTCAATGACGTGGCTGTGAACTTCACCCTGAAGGAATGGGCATGCCTGGAGCCCTCTCAGCGGAAGCTCTACAGGGACGTGATGCTGGAGACCTACCAGCATCTGCAGGCTGTCGGTGAGAGCAGTGTGGAGCCAACCGTGTCTGAAGAGACCCGTGTGCGGTCCCTGGGGTTGGGCTGCAGCTGTGTGTCCAAAAGTAGCTCTGTGACGCGCTTGGATATTGGACAGCCGTGCAGTAGCTCTTCCCTCCCTCGTTTTGTTTTGTTTTGTTTTGTTTACGGTTCACCTGTGGATACTCAGGCCTTACTCTCAGCCTTGTCCTCAGGAATTACTCTTGTGGGGTCGCCAGATCCTATGGGGTGATTCAGATCATCCCGTGTCGACTGTGTCCATGGGAAGATCCCTATCTGCCCAGTTATCGCTCAGGTCCCTTGAAATAGATCCATCCATTGGTGAATCAATTTACTTTGTATACTACATGAACTTTTGTATGTTTAATTGGTTTTGCTGTTGCCTTTGTTTGGGGGCACAGTCCACAGTTCTCCTGGCTCTGTGCTAAAGGATGACTCCTAATAGTGCTCAGGGGCCATGGGGTACCATGGACTGAAACCTCTTGGAAACTTAAAATGTTGGTGACTCACCCCCAGTACTTTTGGACCAGCAACTCAACGTTTTGGCATTTTCTTTTTTCCTTAGGGATTATGGATTATTCCTGCCTGTGTATTCAGGATCCACACCTGGCCTTGCTCCAAGACCATATGGGCTGGATGGGATCAAAGGCACATGTGTGTGCAGCGCTTCTGTCCTATGTGCTGTTCTATCTGTCATCCACCACAGGGGATTTGATATTTCGTCTCTCAACTCATTAGACGCTGCCCTATTTCAGTGATTGGATTTACTTCTAATGGTTCTTGTGAGACTTCAGCAGGACGTAGGGTTTTCTTCTGGACTCTGCACTCAGGGATCACTCCTGGCTGGCATGAGGGACCCTAGGAGATATCTGGTATCACAACTGGAATTTCCGTGAGAAACTCCTGCTGTGCTCTCTTTCTGGATACATTTTTTAGCTTAAAAAATAAGGGTCTCTTCCCGCCCTTGGCCATTTCCAGATTTATTATGCACTTAGTTTTACTGAAATCCCTGATGAGTTCATGAGGGGCTCAGGAAACTCTATGTGCTGCTGGGCCTAGAAAGACATTACAGGGAGGAAAGTGATTTTCTTGCAAGCGGCGCACATGGGTTAAATCCCCGGCAACTCATGTCAATCCTGAGCACCAGCAGCAGTGATTTCTGAATACAGAGTCAGGAGTCACCCCTGAGCATCGCCAGGTCAGATCCCAAACAGGACAAAAACCAACAACATATTGTGCTGAACAACCCCCTGTCGGCCATACACAAGGCCAGGTCTAGAATATTTGTGATATTTTCTTGGGTCTTAACTCTCGAATAACTAGAAATCTGTGGCATTTTGGAAATGGACATTCTGTTCATGCCTTTCAGATCTTTTCCCAGTTATATCAGGAAAACATGGGGATTTTCCTGTCACCTTTTCCCTGTCACTTATCCATGCCTCTGTCTCTGTCGGGGCAGGTCACTCAGGAATGAAGCCTGCGGTGATCTCCTGGCTGGAAGAAGGAGCCCTGAGGTTGAGGAGGAGAGACATGTGTGCAGGTGAGTGTCTGAGGACCATTCCTGGCTCACGCCCTGTGCAGTGTATGGGTGTCCTGAGCATGTATGAAACACGCTGCTGAGACCGGGGCCTTCGTCTCCTGAATCCTTGGGTCTGTGCCACACTCACACTCCTCTTTATTCCCCTGGAATGTCAGTCACAGAATGATCCTGTAATTTGCTTCCATGGCTTTCGAATAAGTAAGACCATAACAGATCTAGTTTGGATCTGAATGATAGTACAGCAGGGAGTGCCTTGCAGTGCCTGAAGGTGATCTGTTCAATAATGTGTTCAGTAACCTGGTTCTCCGAACATTACCAGGTCTGCTCAAAAACAACATCCGAACATTACCAGGTCTGCTCTTTGAACTCTGAGAACCACAGAAATGTACTCTTAACTGCATGGCATCATTTTGCTACATTTTTGGACAAGTGCTTGAATTGTATGTTTTGTTCACTTTCAGAACTGAAACCGCGGCTTCAGGATTTGGCATTACAGCACTTAGATTTGGGAATGGGGTCAGAAAGTACGAGGGAGTTGGTAAGATTCACTAATTCAGAGTAAATATTATTATGCCAGCAGGAGTGGACCAAATATGTGATGGTTAAGGTGGAGGACTGGGAATGGCAGGGAGGAATTCCAAAGCCTGATGCTTGGAGTAGAGGACCCTTAGCTTCACTAGGTGCTGAAATCAACCATGTATAAATATACTGTGCATTTTGATTTGCTTGACAGTGGTAGTTGTTTAGAAAGCTAATTTGTGCACCCTAGAGATGGTGCAGTAAAAATATACTTTCTTTGCACAGGGATGGATGATCCTTACCCAGCACACCTTATAGACGCCATAGCCCCACAGAACTGATCCTAGACACTGCATGGTGTGACCTTCCACCCACCCAACCCCCAATAAATAGAAACTACAAAACAGAAAGAAAAAAACTTCAATGATCCTGAAAGGCATCACTTGTGGCGAGAGCTTTGCAAAGGCCACGTGGTCTGTCTCCGCTGTGTGACCATGCAGCGTAGTCTTCACCCCTGCATCACAGGTCCACTCTGAGCTTTAACCAAACCCACTGGGGATGTATTTCATTTTCTCTTGAAATTGATGTGTCCGTTTTCTATAGAAGGAATTATTTCTAGTTGTATTCCTTCATTAATTTAAAGGGGGGAAAGTCACAGAATTTACAGACTCTCTATTCATCAATGTTGTGTATCCAACTTACAATAACATGAAGTTATTTAATAGACAATTCATACGCCAGTAATTGCATTTTTGTGGTGCATATGTGTGAAACCACATCTGAAGGGCTCAGTTTTTTTTGACAGGAAGACTCAGTGAATAAGTCAATAATTAGAATCCTCTGTTGTTCTACAGGAAAGCTTCCACCCCGAGTGGAATGTCTCTGATCCTGCTCTGTATGATAATGTCTCGTGTGAACAATCCTGCCCTCAACCCCATGAGGACGATGAGACAGGCGGGATGTCTTCTGAAGGTGATCAGAATGGCGAGAGCTACCTCACTCTGAAGAAGCCCTCTCCTGGAAAAAGTTCCTTGGAGTGTGTTATTCTCAGTTCACAGACAGAAAATTCCCCAGTGGAGAACCTACTAGGGAGAGGAGCACTGTTTATAGTGAGTCCCTCACAGCAACATACCCTCAACCACAATCACCATGAGCAGAACCCATCTAAGTGTAAGGAATGTGGGGGAGCCTCCCCATGTTCTCAGCACTGTGGTGTTCCCTTAGAAAACCACAGTGGACAGAATCCCCAGAAAAGTCAGCCCCGAGAACAAAGTGTGAGTCAAGGGTTACTCCATCATGACCATATGAATATAAATTCAGGAGCGAAACCTTTTGCATGTGAAGAATGTGGGAAGGCCTTCGATCAATCATCACATCTTATTATGCATAGGAGAATTCACACTGGAGAGAAACCGTATATATGTAAGGAATGTGGAAAGGCCTTTGCTAGAGCTTCAAGACTTACTGTACATAGGGGAATTCACACTGGAGAGAAACCGTATATATGTAAGGAATGTGGGAAGACGTGTGCTGCAGCCTCAAGTCTTAGTGTACATAGGAGAATTCACACTGGAAAGAAACCGTATATATGTACGGAATGTGGAAAGGCCTTTACTCAATCCTCAGACCTCAATATACATAGGAGAATTCACACTGGAGAGAAACCGTATATATGTAAGGAATGTGGAAAGGCCTTTACTCAATCTTCAGACCTCAATATACATAGGAGAATTCACACTGGAGAGAAACCGTATATATGTAAGGAATGTGGAAAGGCCTTTGCTAGAGCTTTAAGACTGACTGTACATAGGAGAATTCACACTGGAGAGAAACCGTATATATGTAAGGAATGTGGGAAGTCCTTTGCTGAACCCTCAAACTTTAGTGTACATAGGAGAATTCACACTGGAGAGAAGCCGTATATATGTAAGGAATGTGGGAAGGCCTTTGCTGAATCCTCAAGACTTCGTGTACATAGGAGAATTCACACTGGAGAGAAACCGTATATATGTAAGGAATGTGGAAAGGCCTTTGCTAGAACTTCAAGACTTACTGTACATAGGAGAATTCACACTGGAGAGAAACCGTATATATGTAAGGAATGTGGGAAGTCCTTTGCTGAATCCTCAAACTTTAGTGTACATAGGAGAATTCACACTGGAGAGAAACCGTATATTTGTAAGGAATGTGGGAAGGCCTTTGCTGAATCCTCAAGACTTCGTGTACATAGGAGAATTCACACTGGAGAGAAACCGTATATATGTAAGGAATGTGGAAAGGCCTTTGCTGTAGCCTCAGCACTTAGTGTACATAGAAGAATTCACACTGGAGATAAACCGTATATATGTAAGGAATGTGGAAAGGCCTTTACTCAGTCCTCAGGCCTCAGTATCCATAGAAGTATTCACACTAGACAGAAACCATATGTGTAAACTCACACAACTTGGGGGGCACGGCACCCACACAGCGGCGGTGGCTCTATCTCTCCCGCCACCCGCGTTCAGTAGTCTCACCCTTCTACCACCCCGGAGAGGTCGATGGCGATGGTCAGGCGGAGGAAGGAACGAGGCCCAGGCTGGTAGGTATTAGTCGTAGTTTATTCTGATTCTTTCCTCTTCTCCTCTGTCTCTCTATCTCCGCCCCCATTCTTCCTCCCCCAGCTACTTCATTCTCCTTCTCCATTCCCCTTCATCCTCCTTCTCTGGAGTCTGGGTTCTGATCCTCTCTGAACTCTCTTCTTCCTTCTGGCTCTCTGAACTCTCTTCCTCCTTCCCCCCTGCCCGCTCCTACAGTACAGTTAAATCCTCTCTCCTGAGGAATTGGGGAAAAACAATTACATAGGTGCGGTCACAATCAATAGGGGTGGAGATCAACAGGGGTAGAAATCTTAGCCTCAGGGAAGACCGCTCCTAGGACAGATCCTTCCTTAGCAGGAGGACCCACCCTCGAGCAGAATTCCATGGGCGTGCCTCTCCTCTCCTTGTCCGACAAGCATATAAAATATTATATAAATCATTTTGTATGGATACAGTAAGAAATATCTTAAACTTATAGAATTGCTCTCCTAGGGCCATCTTGATCTCAGACTGCGGTGCTCAGGCCAGATAGTCTTTCCCACCCCTAGCAGGATCCTAGTCTTGTCGTTACGTTGGATCATGACAGCATTTGTCTATGATCAAACTCTTAACTTATAGTTAAGAATCGTGGCACCTTGGCCTGGCCCATTTCGCTGCCAGGGTAGCTCACTGCTTGCCCTGGGTCCATTCAGTCCCTCGTCGGGACCCTGCTTTTGGGGTGTTAGGAACTATGGGCAACTGAGGCTTAAGTCGAGAAAGCAGATGCCCAGGAGTGAATAATATTCAAGGCCAATCAAATCCTAAATTACAAAGCATAATGTTAACGGTCTTCCTGTATCTATACAAAAAGGATATTACTTTAAAGTAAACTGTTCATAAGGCATAAGGAGAGGAGAAAGGCAATATTTCACTCATACATATAAAATCATAGATTTCTGGGAAACTGATCTTACAAATTAACAAAGTCTGATTAAGGGGAAAGCTGATTAACTGGGTGGGAGAGCATAGAGAAGACTGTTTACAGATAAACACAATGGAAGTGGAAGTGCTTCAGGAGCACTGAGGTGGGTGTAACCAGATAAAGCCTAAGCTTCTTGAAGGACAAAGCAATGTTACCCAACACCATACATAAGTAAGTAATGTGGAAAGGCCTTTACTCTTCCTCAGGCCTCAGTATCCATAGAAGTATTCACACTAGACAGAAACCATATATATGTAAGAAATGTGGAAAGGCCTTTACTCGATCCTCAGGCCTCAGTATACATAGGAGAATTCACACTGGAGAGAACCTTAATGTATCTAAGGAATGTGGGAAGGCCTTTGCTACATCCTCAAAACTTACTGTACATAGGAGAATTCACACTGGAGAGAAACCATATATATGTAAGGAATGCGGAACGGCCTTTACTTCATCCTCACAATTGACTGTACATAGGAGAATTCACAGTGGGAGAGAACTGTGGATATGTAAGGAATATGGGAAGTCCTTTGCTGAAGCCTGCTGATTTTCACCCGGGCTGCACCTATTCCAGTATTCTTGTGCTTGGAATTTCTTGTGTGTTAACTTGTAAATTATGGGTCATGGTGAACAAAATAAGGAGGAAGGTGACTGATTAAACTGGTACAGAAACACCCCCCTGCTCAGAACTGTCATGGCTCACTACTCTGTTATTGTTTGCTATGCTTCTGGCTTGGCCCAGAGGGACTGGTTAGCAGGAATTATGGCAAAAACCAAGATGCAGCATTCAATACATTGAAAATGGAAAAACAGGAAAACCTCCATTCTTCAGTCTTTCCTGTGTTAGGATTTGGAATGCTTGAGCCCCCTGAAAATCCTGGTTTGGGAACTTGAGCGCCAGGTCACGCAGGATGTGGGAAGCTGGCCCTTTAACTGACCAAGGCCTAAGTGCCTGTGCTACGTGACCTGCAACAGGCACAGCCTGTGCCACGTGACTTGCAACAAGCAAGGCCAGTGCTAGGTATGGTTACCTTGAGGTATGGTGATAACAAGAAGTAGCTATCTCTTGCCTAGTATGTGATGCCTATAAATCATACGGACATAGCCCTTTGTGTAACAAACCTCCCTAACCATATATGGGCACGACCTTCTGTGTAGCTGCCTCACTAATGAATATATTCCCTGATTTCCCCCAATAAAGTCTGTCCCTTTTTCTCTCTTTTTCTGAGCTACATTCTGTCTCTTGTGTCTCGTGTTCATTCGGTCGGTCCTTCCCAGCACCTACGGATCCTAGGGCCACCTCCGCAGGCCGGAGAGTGGTCTGGCGGGGCCCCCCCGCAACTGGCGCCCACGCGGGGCGGTGTCTGGGAGACGACCTCCGAACTCCCCTTCTGCAAGCGGTGGCCACCGGGACTCACAGAGAAGTAAGTGCGCGCCTAATCAAAAATCCCCGTCTCGTTCAAGGCCGAGTGGGAAGATCCCCATCTCGTTCGAGGCCGAGTGGGAATTAGCCCCTGCCTCGTTATTGAGGTTGACGGGGTGGTATAAGGGGAGAACTGAGTGTTCAGTCTCATATGAGGTATATGAGACGGTCACTGGGTTGGATAAGGCTCCCCCGCGCTCCTTTGTTGTGTCCTTTGTGGAATGTGTGTGTGAGTGAATGAGCGGTCAGGGGCGTTCTCGCCTCTGATTCGAGTTTGTGGTTCCACGGCTGGGCACCCTTAAGGTCCCCGAGAAGGCTACGGAACCCGGTTGGGCTGCCTGCGATTCCACGGGAAACATATGGTCTATGGTGGTGCTGACTTAGACGTCGGCCGCAAGTCACCTCTGGCTGATCCACTACGGCTAAGTTTCCCACCGGCCAGGCAAGCATCTGAGTGGGCCCCTTTGTGGGGCCTCCCCGTGTCTCTCGTCTGTTTCTCCCAGGTATTCACGCGGGGCTTCAGCCTTCCAGTGACCCATCTCCTGTCTCGTCTCTATTCATGTTTTTCTTTTCTGCCTTCTAGTCCTCCTGTCTGTGTTACAATTGAGTGTTCAGTCTCATATGAGGTATATGAGACAGTCACTGGGTTGGATAAGGCCCCCCTGCGCCCCTTTGTCGTGTCCTTTGTGGAATGTGTGTGTGAGTGAATGAGCGGTCAGGGGCGTCCTCGCCTCTGATTCGAGTTTGTGGTTCCACGGCTGGGCACCCTTAAGGTCCCCAAAAAGGCTACGGAATCCGGTTGGGCTGTCTGCGGTTCCACGGGAAACATATGGTCTATGGTGGTGCTGACTTAGACGTCGGCCGCAAGTCACCTTTGGCTGATCCACTACGGCTAAGTTTCCCACTGGCCAGGCAAGCACCTGTGTGGGCCCCTTTGTTGGGCCTCCCCTGTGTCTCTCGTCTGTTTCTCCCAAGTATTCACGCAGGGGACAGCCTTCCAGTGACCCATCTCCTGTCTTGTCTCTCTCTATGTCTTGTCTGCCTTATATTTCTTTTCATCTGTCTTATATTTCTTATTTTCTATTCGTGTGTATCTGTATTTTTGAACGCTGTTTTTCCTGACCTCTGAAAATGGGTCAGAGTTTAAGCAAGAAGGAATTGTTTATTCGTGGTTTAAAGACATCCCTTAAGCACCGGGGTATCCGGGTCAAGAAAAAGGATCTCGTAGATTTTTTTCTTCTCATTGAGGAGATCTGTCCCTGGTTCCCTCAAGGGGGCACCATCGATGAGAAACGTTGGGGCCATGTAGGAGACTGTCTTAAAGACTATTACAGGACGTTTGGTCCCGAGAAAATCCCCGTTCCGACTTTCTCTTATTGGAATCTCATTAATGAGGTCCTTCGCGTCCGACATGTTCAGTCAGACGCTCACCAGGTAGTTCAAGACTCTGAGACCTTTCTTAAAGATTATCGCCCTTCTAACCCTCATTCCCGCATGCCTTCTCGCCCGCCTTCTGTTTCCCCCACCCCCCTCGCAGAATCAGAGGAACCTCGTAGATCCCCCTGTCCCTCCGTATCCATCCCTATGCCCCCTGAGGAGCCACCCGAGAAATCTCCCGCGGGCTCTCAGCCTGACCCCTCTGAGTGTTTGGTGCCACGCATATATCCAGCCATCAGGGATCCCCTCCCCAAGCACTCCCCTCTGCGTTCCTTGGACTCTGATGCCCTTCCCCCGGAGAACGTTGCTGACCTCACGGATGCAGCCACATGCTCTCGTACAGCGGAGAGGCCCCCAAAGGTCCCTCTTGCCTCCCCTCTCCGCCCCCCTCCGTACAATCCGGAGGTCTATCTCGGGGCGAGCAATTATCTTTCACCGTCCTTTGTGGGTTCCGACTTTCATCTTGCTACCCACCGCTTGGCGCAAGAAGCGCAAGTGCTTCGCTCCTTTTTGCAACAAAAGAAGGAATTCCTGGACCTCCTGGGGCAAATCAGGCAACTTGATCTATCCCCAAAAGCCCCACCCGATTCACAGAGCCAGCCGCTTAAAGCTCCCCCGCAGGCCCCTCAGATCTTTCCTGCTCTCCGGTCTGGTAGACGCCTCTCATCTCAAGCCCCTTCAGGGGAGGAGAGGGAGGGAGCAGCCCAAGAGGCAGATTCCCCAGAAGACCGCGAGGGCATCAAGGAGGCTCCTAATCTGGGTAGGGACGAGAGGGATCCCGAGCCAGGGGAGACCCACACGGAAGCCCATGGGCGACAGCGCTATAAAAGGCTGAAATTTAGTGATATTAAAGACATTAAGGATGCTGTTACCTCCTGTGGCCCAACCGCTCCCTTTACTCTGAGCCTCTTAGATTCCCTTAGTGAGACCTGGCTCACCCCTAACGATTGGTTTTCCCTGACCCGTGCTGTTTTAAGCCGCGGGGATTATCTACTCTGGAAGGCAGACTATCATGATCGTTGTCAGGATATGGCCAGGCGGAATCTTGCTACGGGAGGGTCCTCCTCCTCCTGGGTACTGAGCAAATTCCTGGGTAACGCTCCCTTTTCCTCTAATGAGGTTCAGGCTCAGTTTCCCCCCGGCCTTCTCACGCAGATTCAGGCAGCAGCCTTGAAGGCTTGGAAAGGTCTCCCAACAAAGAGTTCCGTTGTCACCTCTCTTGCCAAAGTCCGTCAGGGCCCTAACGAGCCCTACAATGACTTTGTTGGCCACCTGGTGGAGGCTGCTGAGCGCCTCCTGGGGGGAGGCGACACTGATAATGACTTTATTCGCCACCTAGCCTATGAAAATGCTAATTCTGTCTGCCAGGGCGTCCTCCGTCCCCACAAATGGGGCAAGACCCTCTCTGACTACCTCCGCCTATGCGCCGATGTAGACCCGGCCTCTCAAAGAATGGGACTGGCTATTGGGGCGGCCTTTAAAAATTTGACCTATACTCCAGTGACCGCTCCGGCCAACCCTAGAGTCTGCTTTGGCTGTAACAAGCCTGGTCATCTCTGGCGTCACTGCCCAGAGCGGGGGAGGGCGCGTGTACCCCAGAAATTATGCCCCAAGTGTAAGAATGGGTACCACTTGGCATCAGAGTGCCGGGTTGAAGTTGTCTCTCGCCCGGGAAACTTGTCGCGGGGCCGGCCCCAGGGCCCCGTAATGCAGCAGGCAACTGGGGCACTCCCCTTTCTTCCCCCTCAATCCCTGCCGCCTCCGGCCATTGTTCAGCCTCAGGTTTCCATTCCCTCCTGCGCGCCATCCCAGGCAGCTCCAAATTGGACCTCCGTACCACCTCCCCCACAATCCTAACCCAGGCACAGGGACCTCAGCCCATCCCAGTCAATTTCCAGGGGCCCCTGCCTGCTGGAATGGTTGGCCTCATTATCGGGAGGGGGAATCTTATATTGGAGGGATTCCAGGTCCTCCCCGGCACTATAGATGATACTCTCACTGGCCAGCTTAGCGTTATGGCCGCGACTACGTCCTCATTCCTGAGTATAGATCTGGGTGCCCGCATTGCTGAATTGCTCCTTATCCCACCCAGCGCCACCCCTGGCGCCACCGGCCCCCCGCCACCGGGGGTGTTCTGGGCTCAGGTTATACAGGAGTGTAAGCCACTCCTGACTCTCACCATCTCAGGCAGATCTTTTACCGGCCTTATAGATACTGGAGCTGATACTACCATCATTACTACCAGGGACTGGCCGCCAGAATGGCCAATCTCCCCCTCTTTAACACACCTGCAGGGAATTGGCCATTCAAAAAACCCGATGTTGAGCTCAGCTGAGCTCAAGTGGCAGACCCCCGAAGGAAAGGAAGGCCACGTCCGCCCCTATGTCCTCCCCGACCTGCCTGTTAATCTCTGGGGGAGGGACGTCCTGTCCCAAATGGACCTGATCCTAGTAGATACCAAAGGCCTAGATCTTTTACTTCAACAGGGCTATCTTCCTGGCCAAGGTCTGGGAAGGCACTCCCAGGGTCTCACTGAGCCCGTGATGCCTCCCCCCTCTGTGGGACGACTAGGACTGGGAAATTTACCATAATGGCCATTGACTTGC